GAGGTCTGTCCCCAGGGCTCGAGCCCTGGAGTGGGCTGATGCCCTGTACCTGAGGACACGCCTGGCACAGACTTTGTGCCTGCTGCACACATTCGGCTTGGTTGGTGTTGGAGACTTCATCTCCTTCAGGGACGCATGGCTCTGTGCCTGCCATGGCATTGTATAGCAGGGTGCGCCCGAAAAGCCATCCTGCGTAAGGCAAGGGGGGAGTGAGGCTATGGCCTCATCCCGGGTGGGCCTCACTGAAGGAGCCGCCAGAGAGAACCAGGATGGCCAGGACGCGGGGCAGCTCCCAGAGAGGGACGGTAGGCACCAGACCTGGCATTGTGCACACTACATGAGACAGAGGATTCACTAATATACAGCTAATTCTGACAACTCACTGCACAGGGAGGTCGAGAAAGAGAAGCCTACAGGCCCCCCAGGAGTCCCTGAATGTCCCTCCTCAGTTGTGACCCCAGAGAAAATCCAGATGGCTGGTGAACAGATGCCGAGATGTTTGGCTTCATTATAATCAGGGAATGCAAAATACACCCACCATGAATACCTTTCCACAAGCGCCAGGTTGGCCAGAACCAGAAAGCTGGACGGTGGCCCGAGCTGGCAGGGACAGGCGCGGCGATGGCCCTCCTGCGCTGCTGGTGGGAGTGCAAAGTGGAACAGCCACTTCGGAAAACAGCTTGGCATTCCCTGGTGAAGCGGAAGGTGCCCGTACTCTGTGACCCAGCAGTTTCACTCTGGGCACGAGCCCGGGAGACACGTGGCTGGTGGGCGACGACGGGTGTGTGAGCTCTCTTGGCAGAAACTACTGGGGCGTGTGGGGAGTGGGCCAGCACTGCCCAGCAGGGTCCTGGAGGTTGCAGCCCGGCCTGGTCCCTGGCCACCTGCAGGCAGCACCGCTGCATCGGTACAAGCAAAGGGCAGGGATGCGCGATCAGGCAGAGCAGCCGAGAGCAGGACGGTGGGTGCAGAAGAGGCAGATGCCAGGCCGTGGGGAGGCAGGTGGTGTCACCGGCCTTCAGGGGCCTTCAGGGGGTGAGGACAAGGGCAGGCTTGGAGATGAAGACGGCGCAGTGGTTTGGGCACCAGGCAGAGTGTCTCACAGTCCGCAGACTCCCCGGAGGAGTAAGGAGCGTTCTTATCCCTCCCGACTTCAACGAGCACCTCCCCAGCATCTGTGGGCCGGGCGCTGGGCTCGGCTCAGGGATTTGAAGGCACCTGGGGCCCTGTGGCTGCCAAGAGGAGCCCGCGGCTGGGGGTTACCCTGTGAAGAAGCACATATTCCCACTGTGCCCCACAGGGGTCCACACGGCATCTGTACCAAACAGCTCAGAGCAGCAGGCAGCTGGAGAACCAAAAAGAGCTTCGTGGTGGGGTCACGGTTATGAGTGGGGGACACTTTAGGCAAGCAGGAAGACCCTTGACAGGGCAGTGTGCAGAGCCTCCCAAACCTGGGGTCTGGCCGCGTGAAGGGACCAGTCAGCGGGCCTGGGGATTGTCCACAAATGTTCTCAGCGGTGGTTTGAGTTTCGTGCTGGCAGGTCTTGTTAGCATGTTCCAAGGTTGAAGAAACTCGTTGGTTATGAGAGCGTGTTCAACATGCAGCATGGCCCGTGGCCCTCTTGTAAACCTGCCTCACGGTCTATCTCTGAGTGGGGCGGCTTCTTCAAGGCCCAGGAGGTCCTGAATGGGCACACTACTATAACCAGACAACGGCCCACAGCGGGGAAGCTGGCCCTGCCCGCTGGGACCCCAGGCGTGATCGACGACGGGCTGCTCTGGGGAACAGCCCGCCCCTGGGGGTCCTGTCAAGTTTGTGTCCACACAGTTGCAGGGTAGGGACCACTCTTTCCTGCCCTGCAAGGAGGTACTGTAGGTGGTCTCCGCCCTCAGGCCCACCCTGGCCCACCAGGCAGTGTCTTGCTGGGGAATGGAGGGGGGCTGGGTGTGAGGCCCCGTGGGCTCAGCTGGATTGTAAAGAACCTTCTGGGCCTGCCCAGAGGGCTGGGTCTGTACCCAGGAGATAGAGCCGCCGAAGGCTGGCCGGCAATGACGAGGTCAGACTGTCGGCAGTGGCAGGAGGTGGCTGCGGTGTAGGAAGTCGTGATGCCCGGGCCTGTCCCTGGGCCTGGTGGGCGCTGGGCTTGTGGGTGCCCTGGAGGTGGGCTGGCAGACAGGCGTCCGCGGGAGCCTTGGCCGGCTCGGCTATTCGTAGCACGTCACTTCCTCTGAAATGTCTGCCGCAGCCGGTGAAGCTCTTGGCGACCCTGCCCTGGACGCCCTGCAGCCCTCTGAGCATGTTCCCCTTAGGTGTGGAACTGGGCCTGCCTGGCCGTGAGGCTCAGAGCCCACGGGGCTCCCAAGCTGCCCCTTCCAGAGGGGAGTGCAGACGTGCAGGACGCCCACGTGGCTCCCATCTCTCAGGGTGGCCGTGGGGGGCATCCGCTGAAATTCTGGCAGGGCCTGTGGACTCAGGGTGCTGACACATGCTGTCCAGTCGCTCTCCTGCTTGTCCCTGGCCCGTTAGCCTAGGCCCGTCCAACATTCCTGCCTGCCCTACTTGGGCCGTGGCGTCAGGCAAGAGAGAGTCATTCCTCCCACCTGGGCCAGAGCAAGGTGGACCAGAGGGCCAGGCAGCAGGTCCCAGAGGACCGTGGTGCCCAGGGTTCAGGATCCCTCAGATGCACGAGATCTCCCCTTGACATGTCAGGGGAGCCAGCAGTGTCCCTCGGTCCTGTCCTGGAACAATGCGCCAGTTGAATCCCACCTTCCCGTTGCAACAGGGGGGTTTTAGAGGGGCTGCAACCATCCTGCCCATGAGTGGAGGGCTCAGCCACAGGGAAGCAGTGACTCAGGACCCGTGGAAGTCACCCTATAAAGTCATGCAGAGAATCCCCCCATTTAGATGCTCCCACCACGAATAGGCCCCGGGGCCACACGTCTCCAGCTTCCCTAAGGGGTGGAAGGGGCTTCCCCGCTCACCGGGGCATCTTCCCGTTGGGCAAGAGGGTGGGGAGGGGCCTGGACCTAAGCAGGAGTCGTGCTGTGGCCCGTGAGATGCCCCCGGGCCCACCTGACCTGGGCTCCCTTCTCTTGGCAGCACAGCCAGTCAGCAGCTGCGCGAGCAGGCAGGCCTGCCGGCCTGTGTGGGCCGCAACCAGTAGGATGTCAGCAAGGCCCCTGTGGTGGACTGGCTCAGACTCACAGCGTGGGCTGGCTTTACTCTCTTAAATAGCACAGAGCCACGGGGTCTTCAGGATTGTTCATCAGTGTGTGCCTCCGCGTGTGTTTACGTGTGTGTGTGTACATGTGTTTCTGTTCGTGCTGTATTATGTGTGTGGATGCACGTGCCCTGTGCATCTGTGTGCGTGCACATGAGCCTGCAGGTGTACCCGTGTGTGTGCCTGTGTGCATGCACGTGTGTGTTTGCACGCATGCGTGTGCTCACAGTGCCCAGGCGCCTCTTTAACTGGGCCCCTCTGGCATTGCAGGAGTGTCTGGCTCCCTGAGTCCTGAGGGGCCCCGGGCGGCATGGAGAGGCCCCAGGTTGAGCCAAATCAGAAAGACCTTTTATCAGTGAACCTCAGGCACCTGGGGAACATGGCAGAGAGATCTCTGGGTTCACCACCCTCCTCCACCGCCCACTCTAATTGGGCGCTCTGCTTTTACTCTGGTGTCTCCTTTTGAAACCCTGTCCACCTCCCTCGCAGGGGCGCACACGGTTCTGGCATCCAGCTAGGGTCTCTCTGCTCTCAGACTGCTTCACACGGGGGTCTGTGACCCCTTCTTCTTGAACCAGCTTCAGTGAGTTCCCCTCATCCATCTACCCCCATAGAATGAGCTGGAGGGACCTGGGGAGTGGCGTCATCGAGCCCCTCCCTGGGCTCAGAGGAGGAGGCAGATGGTGGGATGTGCCATCACAGGGGCACGGAGCAGACCCAGCCCCGGTCCCCCTCCGTCACCCCCACTGCCGAATCCCTGAGACTCAGCAAGCCCACGAGGGAGCTGCCCCCTGGGTCTCAACCTTTCCTTCCTGGTTTAAACTCTTTATCCTTGTGCCTGTGCCTATGGGACCCCCCACAGTGCAGGTGGGGAAACTCGAGGACAGGAGGCAGGAGACATTCTTTAGGACCTGACACCTTGGTTGTACTTGAACCTCAGCTCAGCAGTCCTGTGTGCTGGGCAGCGCGGAGCAGCTGAGGCTGGAGGCAGAGGCTGGATGGAAAGGAGGGGCTCGGCCTCACTTCTGCACCACCACCACTCAGCCCTGCCCTCCCCCGGCTTGGCCCTATTCTCACCCCGACCCCCGACGCGGCCCTATTTCCTGCCCCCCCACTCGGCCCTGCTCTCCCCCAACTCAGCCCTGCTCTCTCCCCAAATTGGCCCTACTTTCCCCCAGCTTGGCCCTGCCCAACGGGGCCCTACCTGATGTCCAGGTGTCTCTGTAGCCATCATGTCATGTGGGTCTTTGTATGTCACGTGATCACGTCGTTGGAACACAACACATCAGCTCTGTTAACGGCTTCCCATGCACAGCTGTACATTTGTAGGCGTCACCTCCATCTCCACAGGTTTCTGCGTCTTGCTCATCTGCCCACAATGTAAAAGAGTGCAAGCCCTCTGCATGCCTGCTGAGCTGTGTGGTAAGCCTGTGGGGTCAGAGGTGTCTCAGCGAGTGGGTGACCGGCTGGGCAGGGGGCTGCACAGAGGCTGCACCTTCCAGAGCCCAGGTCCCGGCTCCAGGAGTGACACCTGCTCCCAGCAGCATGCTGGTCATTTCACTAGAGGCGCTGTGGCTTCTGACATCCAGGGAACAGTGGGACGACTTTCTGTTCTTGTTTTTAAAGACCTTGCCTAAAACCCCACTCCTGACGTAAAATGAAGCAGTGCCACACGTCATCTGCTCCCCTAGACTTCATCTCGACGTCGGGGTGCCGGGCCTTTCCCAGGGAGGAGGGCCTGTTGGTGATGTGGGCCTGTCCCCAGACCTGGCTCAGCGGAGGCCTGTCTTGGCAGGAGAACGTGTCCCTGGCCGACATCCTCTCGCTGCGGGACAGCGGCCTCAGCGAGCAGGAGGCCTGGGCCGTGTGCCTGGAGTGCAGCCTGTCCATGAGGAGCGTCGCCCACTCGGCCATCTTCCAGACCCTCTGCATCACGCCTGACACCCTGGCTTTCAACACCAGCGGGAACGTGTGCTTCATGGAGCAGCTCAGTGGTGAGGCCCGCGGGCGGGGCACATGGGGACACACGGGGGTCCCTCCCCTGGCTCGGCCGGGCGATAGCAATGGAGCCCAGGTTTCCATGGTAACCTGAGGGGATCTCCAGCCCGAGATACCACTGGGGGAGAGTGAGGTGGGGGCAGCTCTCATGGGGTGTGGACGTGCCCCAGCGCCGGCCCACACGCCCCCCTTCGGAGGAGCAGGGAGGGGCCCGCCGGCCCTGACAGCAGCGAGGACAGGGTCAGGGCTTCCTGGCCCTGCGGTGAGGGGACGCAGGGGCCTCGGAGCGGGGAACCAGCCCGGCCAGTGCCCGCCCCTGCTCCAGGGAGAGTGTGAGCGGAGGGGCCTGGTCTTTCCTAACAGGGGCCTTCAGCCCTCCTCCTCCAGGAAGCCAGACCAAATCCTTTTCTTCTTCCTCCTTGGAGCCCATTTCCCACACTTACAGGGAAGGAGGTGGTTTCCCTTTTTAACCGGTGTTTCCTCTAACACTTAAAACTGTCCTTGGGGACGCCAGGACAGAGGGGAGGAATGGGCACCTGCTGAGCCACCGGACGGGGTCCCCTCCTCCGCCTGGCCCTCCCGTGGCTCCTCACTGGTGGGTTTTCCCTTCACCATGAGCTCCGCAGGTGTGATAGAGCATCTTCTCTCTTGCTTCCCCAGATGACCCTGAGGGCGCCTTTGTCCCCCCGGAGTTCGACGTGACTGGGAACACCTTCGAGGTACGTGGCAGCTGGTGGGCCACCGCCAGCCTCTCTCTGACCTTTCCTGAGCGGCGAGCGTGATTAACATGGGAAAGGCACTGTGGCTGGGGTCTGCATGCGCTGGAGCAGAGGGCAGAGCTGCGGCTGCCCCGCACGTGGACTGTCCCAGCGGGCTTTGAGGTTCGCGCACCTGTGTCAGACACGGGGTCCCCGCGGGCACGAGGCTCCAGTGACAGCGTGATGTGTGGAGGCCTGTTTGCTGTAGTTGTGGAGTAGGCTGTCTAGAGTGTGAATTGACTATATTTAACTCGTTAAAAGTGCTGGCTGGCAGGGAATCGTCATTTCTCTGAGGGATGAGCAGCACTCCGACAGGACACGTGGCCTCTGGATGATCATTTACAAGCATGAGCAGCGGCCACACTGAGGCCACACTTGGGCTGAGGTCACTGAGGCCTCCCAGAGACCCCTGCTCAGCAGAGCGGACCCCTGGGCGCCCTCTAAGTCCACAGCCGACCCCAGGGCTCCCTGTGCATGAGACGTGCCAGAGCAATGGGCAGCACGGCTCCTCCAGCTTGGCCAGGGGACTAAAGAAGGAGATGGGGGACCTCTGCACATGCCCCCCTATCCATAGGTCCCCATCTGTCCATCCATCAGGCCCCGTCTGTCCATCGAGCCCCACCTGTCTATCCCACTGGGCCCTGTGTGTCTGTCGGGTACCGTGCTGGGCTCTGGCCGACAGTGGAGTCTGGTCATGTTCCTGTGTTCATGGCACCCACAGTCCCCTAAGATGGTTGGGTAAGAATAAGTCAGTCATTAACAAATAAATGAGTAATTACAAACTCAAAAATCTTCCCAATAAAAGCCCGTTAGCTTAGTGACATTAGATTAAATTTTTACCCTAAAATAAGTTTTAGGATTGGCTCCTCCTAAGCTTAATGTGACTTTAAGTAAGCTAGTCCTGAGGCCCTTGCCCGGCTCCGTGGATGGGCAGGACTGCAGGGCCGTCAGACCCTGGTGGATCCCACTGTCGGGTTTGCGGATTTTTTGGAAACTCAAGCCTCCAGAGTCAGAATCCTCATAGTCTTTGTTCTCGTCACTGGTCCACGCACAGACTTCTTCATTTTTTATTGCGTTTTTAGTAATGGGACCTAGCACCAACGTGAACGCTGAGGCCCTGAAACAACGTCTGTCCTTCTCAGGCTCCCTCCCCGTCCCGAGCCCTGCCCCCTGTCCACGGTGGCAGCGCCCAGCAGGACCCCTGTGTTCCTAAAGGCAATGTTGTTTCCTTTGTGCTGTTTGCAACTTTCTAAAGAGCTCACGCTGCGTGTAATCTTTGGGAACTTCCTTTCATGTTTTTGCCGAGACTCCTCTGCACAGCACCGGGCGTCACTGTCATCATGTGGGAGATGCCACCTGTCACCCGCCCGCCTTCGGGAGGGCCCTGAGTGGCCCAGGTTTCCAGTGGGGTTCGTGCCGCTCTGCATGTTCCTGGTGTGTCTGGGCTAGAGCTGCTCCCAGGTGTGCACCAGGGGTGGAATTGCTGCACGTGGGGCAGGGACCCTCCAACTGGTTTCTAAAGTGGTTGCCCCCGAGTGCACCCCGTGCCAGAGACCCTGCTTCCCCCCTGCCCTGTAGATTGCCCGGGGTGGGGGAGGAGCACCGCGCTCACTCCAGCCTCATGGCCTCGTGTGTTTACAGGGGATGGGATAGGAAGTCCCTCTCCAGTGAAAGCCCATTTTCTGGTCAGTTGATACGCTTTTCTTCATAAATTGTCAGGATTGCAAATGTCGTCTCCAGTCTGGAATGTGTGTTCTCACCCTCTTTAAGGCAGCGGTTCCCAAACTTTTTGGTTCTTGGGACCCCTTTATACTCCTAAGAATTATTGAATACCCAAAGAGCGTTTGTTTATGTGGGTTATATCTGTCAGTGTTTACTGTGTTACAGGTTAAAACTGTGATGTGTGTCAACTATTTGCCTATTAATTTGTTCAGAAATAACAATAATACCTCCGTTGCATGTTAACATGTATAATATATTTTTATGAAAAATATTTTTTCCCGCAAAATAGAGAAAAGGGTGGCATTGTTTTGCATGGTAAATCTGTGTGTCGCCAGGCTTGGGGCAAACCTGGGTCTTCACGGCCGCGTCTGCCTTCAGTCTGTCGCAGGACCACACGTCGTGCAGCCTCTGGACGCCTCCACCGTACGAGAGTGGATGAGACAAACAGCAGCTCAGTGTTACTATGAAAGTCGATTTACCCTCTCAAACCACACTTTGAGAAGAGCTGCTTGAAGGCGTCCTCTGAGGAAAAAAAGCTTCTCAATTCTGACATACAGTCCTGCATCGCCTCACGACGGGGATACGTTCTGAGAAATGCATCTTTAGGGGTTTCGTGGTTCTGTGAACGTCCTAGAGTGCGCTTACGCAGACTTAGATGGTACAGCCTCCTGCACATCTAGGCTGCGTGGTGCTGACCCTATGGGGCCACCGTCGTCTGTGATGTCCGTTGTTGACCGAAACGTCATTATACAGCGTATGACTGTAGTCAGATTTATTGATGTTTTCTTTCATTGTTAGTTTTTGTGCCTTAAGAAACCTTCCCAACCTCTAACAGAGATATTCCCCAGATCTAACAGATATTCATTATTTTCTACCAAGAGTTTTAAAGGTTTGTTCTTCACATTTAATCTGACTAAAGTTGATTTTTTTTTTTTTTGTAGTGTGAGGTAAGGATCCAATTTCATCTTTTTCCATATAGATTACTGTTTCTCCCAGCTCTGTTTATTGGCTGGCCTGGGTACAGGCCAACTGTGCCTTATACCACAATTCTAGACAAAAGTGGGTCTGCTTCTTGGGTCTCTGTTCTTGCCTGTGGGTCAGTCTGTCCATCCCTGCGCTACATCTGCGTTTATGAATTACCCCAGCTTCACAGTGAGCCCCGCGTCTCACAGGGAAAGTGCCCACTCCCTGTGCTCTTTCAGAAACGTCCTGACTGTTCTTAGCTCTTTCTTCTTCCGTGTGAGGTTTAGAATTAGTGTATCAAGTTCCATGAAAAGCTCTGTCAGTATTTTGGCTGGAACGGCATTGAATCTATAGATCAATCTGGGGAGAATTCCTGTCTTTATAATATATGGTCTTCTCCATAAACACTTAATAGCTCTTCATTTATTTGCATTTTATTTAGTATCTCAGCAACACTTTTAAATTTTTACTGTAGGAGTCTTGGATATCCTTTATTAGTTTATTCTCAGAGAGAGAGAGATTCTGATTCTATTCTAAATTGATGGCCATCTTTGTCATTACGTTTTTCTGCTTGCCTGTTGCTGGTCGACAGAAACGCAGTTCACTTTAATATCTTAATCTCATGTCCCGCCATCTTGCTGAATTCTTTTATTATTTTTATTAACTTAGTTTCTTTTAGTTTTTCTGTTCAAATCACCAGCAAAAGACGGCAGTGTTGTTCCTGCCTGTCCAAAGACTGCGTCAGTTCCCTTCCTCCTCTGGCTGTGTGGCAGCACAGAGCGGCAAGGAGACGCCCTGCAGAAAGACGCTGTGTGCGGGTGGCGCCCACCTCAGGAGACGTCGATTCCCGCCCCCGTTCTGAAAGAACTGCCTTCACCTCTCCGCGTCCTGGGCGACGTGTGCGTTGGCTGTGTGAGTTTCCCTCCTGCCAGACGGGTCAGGTTCTCTCGTGAGTGTATGTTGAGCTTTGTGAAGTATTTCTGCATCCTTTGAAACGATCATTAAGATTTCAGTATTTCCGTATTTGTTTTCAAATATGAAATCATCCTTTCCTACTTAGAAAAGACCTAAACTGGCGAGGGTCTGGTCTTTTTTGTACCGTGTTGCGTTCGATCTACCAACACCTGCCTTGGATTTTTGTGGTTCTTCCCGAGGGGACGGGTGGTTTCCATTCTGCCGATGTCAGGTGGTGTTGGCATTGGGGCTGTTCTAAATGAGCGCCCCCTCTCCCTCTGTCCTGTGAGAGTTCACGTAAGAACGGGGTGATCCATTCCTTGGAAGTTAGGTCAACTTACTCATGAAGCCATCTGTTCCCTTTGAGGAAAGATCTTCAATTGCTGCTCTATTTTTAATAGTTATAGCACTCGTCTGTTTTGTATTTGTTATTGAATCATTTTTGGTAAACTGTATATTTCTGAAGTGTATCCATTTTTACCTGTGTTTTTAAATTGTTGACATCGAGTTGCAAATGACACCCCTTCCCAGCCGCTGCGTTATCTGCAGAGACGTCCTCTTCCCGCTCCCTAGACAGTTCACTCTCCCTTTCCTTTCTCTTGTCAGTCTTTCGGGGCTCCTCACTTTGTTAGTTTGTTCAGAGCCCACTTTGTACCACGTGGTCTTTCCTGTGGTGTCTTTTTCTTTTTTGTTGATTCTGCTGTTATTTTCACTCTCTTTTTCTCTACTTGTTTTGAGTTTAGTAACTGTTCCTTTTCTAACTAAAGTTAGACACTCAGCTCATGAGTCTCCAGCCTTCCTTCCTTTCCAATATTAGCGCTAATACCTAAGGCTATGAATTTCCCTCAAAACGTGAGTTTCGCTGCATTCTGCGAGCTTTGCCGTGTAGCAATTGCAGTATCACTCACTTCTAGGTATTTTTTTGTTTCCATTGGCATTTCTTCTTTCACCCATGAGTTATTTAGCAATGTGAGTGGGTTGGGTTTTTTCTTACTTTTTATTGAGATGTACATACAGAAAAATGCATATATCACAAGCATACAGCTTGATGAGTTTTCACAAACTGAACATTGCTGTAACCAGCGTCCAGATCAAGAAGCAGAGCATGACAGCACCCCATAGCCCTGCCTGGCCCCCAGGAGAACCGCCATCTAGACTCGAGCGATGCTGATCTCTCTTGGTGGTTCCTTCTGCCCAGCATCACGTGTGTGAGATTCAGCACATGGCACGTGGTCAGCACAGAGCTTCCACTCTCAACAATCATTTGTCCATTTATAAACACACTAGGACTTTTTGTTTGTCTTTTTCTTCTTTTTTTTTTT